CCCCCCGGGGGGGGGGGGGGGCAGACTTCAAGAACGTAAGACTGACTCTTAGCCGGTCTGGAGGATGGAATTTCCTGGAAAAGCTCAACGATTCCCTGCTGGAGGTGCTATTTCCTATAAGGAACAAGTTCTCTATGACAACACAGGAACTTCTTTGATACAGCTTTTCCGCACTGTCATTTTCCTTGCTCGTGTGTTCCTGTCACTTTAGGAGGGTTCCCCACCCACTCTTCTGCGCATGTTTTGCTCCCTCTAGAGGTCGATTCGATATTACACCACTTTGTGTCTGTTGTATCTGTTGTGTTTGCAGATTTAAACTTCAGGTTTTTAGGCAGGACATAACATGATGTAATACTGAACTGACCACTAGAGGGAGCGTGTGTTCCTGCCGCTTTAGGGGTTTCCCCCCCTGTTCTGCACGTATTTTGCTCCCTCTAGAGGTCGATTCGATATTACACCACTTTGTGTCTGTCGCATCTCCCTGCAGATTTAAACTGCAGGATTTTAAGCAGGACATAATATGATGTAATACAGAACTGACCACTAGCGGGAGCAAAATACATACGGAACAGGGGGGGAACCCCCAAAGCAACAGGACCGGACAAGCAAAAAGAATGAAGAGAAGCCCACAGAGGTGAAGGGAGCTCATCCTTCTAGTCCTCAGCGTCTCTCTCTCTCTCTCTCCACCTTACCTGAACTGAACATTTTCCCAGCACCAGATACGACCACGGCACGGCATTCTGGGTCCTGAGCAATCTTGTTGAAGCACTCCACCATCTCCCTACGGCAAGAAAGGAAACAAACAAAAAAGTGGACATGTTTGAACTTATGCCACTCACTCCTACTACTTTAGCTGTCTTCAAAAGAGGACGAGACCGATTCGCGGAGAAGCGACCTATCACAGACACACACACAAAGCTGCCTTGAACTGAATCAGACCACTGGTCCATCGTGTCTACTCAGACTGCCAGTGGCTCTCCGGGGCCTCAGGCAGAGGTCTGTCACATCACCTGCCACCTGATCCTTTTCCCTGGAGATTCTGGGGACTGAAGCCGAGTCATTCTGCATGCCAAGCACATGCTCTACCACTGAGCCACGGCCCTTCCCCATGACCCTCCTGTTGCTGCAGGTACTGAACACCCCTGCCCAGTCTCATTCCCACACAGGGAAGTGGGAGAGTGGTGGGAGGGTGATCTGCCTCCATCTCTGCTTCACTAGGTGTTTGTCCAGACAGCTGGGAGGTCTGCAGTCCCTAAGATGGGGGAAAAGGGGATGCTAGAGCCCCTTCTCCCATCCCTGGAGCTCCAGGCTGCCACGGCTTAACCTCAGGCTCATAATTCTGAGGACAGATTTGGAATGCCACAACAAAATGGGTGCCATTGGCCGGCTGGGTCCACTCACACAATGTCAAAAGGTTTCAAAACAGAGGCAGATGACTGGTGCTCCACCCAGACACAGAGTCAATTCCCCAGGGGCTCTTCTGAAGCATCTCCTACTCCAATTAAGTGGAGAAAAGTCAGCAACAGGGTCTTAGCTTTAGAGAAGATAAGATTTGGAAGAGGCAGTCAGGTATCAGGAAACACATCGGCAAGCACCATGCAGCCCATGGCCACCACTTAAGGACCACTGTTTGGTGTAGTGGTTAAGAGTTGAAGCTGCCTTATACTGAATGAGACCCCCGGTCCATCAAGGTCAGAACTGTCCACCCTGGCTGGCAGGGGCTCTCCAGGGTCTCAGCTCTTTCACATCACCAACTACCTGGTCCTCTACACCGGAAATGCCAGAGACTGAACCCAGGACCTTCTGCGTGCCCAGAAGGTGCTCTGCCGCTGAGCTATGGCTCCTTCTCAGCTAACAGCTGCTATAACCCAGCTCCATCCTTGGGGGCGGGGGAACTCTGAGCGCCAGTTGCTGGGAGACGGCAGTGCTGGTCAATGTCCAAAAGAGGGTGCTGGACCAAAAGGGCCCTCAGTCTAACACAGCAGGCCTCTTTCAGCATTCAGTAGTGGGGCAACATCCCCCCTGGCCCGAAGGCTAACTCCGTTTTTATCTAGATTTGAGTCCGGTAGCACCTTAGAATGGTTAAGACGCTGGAGCTGCAGACCGGAAGGTCGGTAGTTCAGCAGTTCGAGACCCGAGTGCGCCGCATGACGGAGTGAGCTCCCGTCTCTGGCCCCAGCTCCCGCCAACCTAGCCATTCGAAAGCAAGAAATTGCAAGTAGATAAATAGGCACCACTTTGGTGGGAAGGGAACAAGCGTTCCGTGTGCCTCGGCGTCTAGTCATGCCGGCCACATGACCACGGAGACGTCTCTGGACAGCGCTGGCTCTTCTTCGGCTTGGAAACGGAGATGAGCACCGCATCCCTAGAGTCGGATTCGACTGGCTTTCGCGCAAGGGACACCTTTACCTTTACCTTTTTAGCACCTTAGAAACCAACATGATGTTCAGGGTACAATCAGAAAACGCCTTGGCTACTTCAAATTACCTGAAGAAATGGTACCTTTTCTTGGAAAAATGTTGTTTTGATCGAAAAAACCCGAATTCTTTTGAAAATAGCAGAAATAGTAATAAGAGATAAGAGATAAAGAGATAATGTTGTAATAAGAGATAATGTTACAGAGAACTATATATTGAAAAAACTCAGTGTTATGTAGTGAAAAGTTGGCTGTTTATTTTTGTTCTTCCATTATTGTATTATTGTTGTATTTGTTGAAATGATTAATAAAAAACTTTTTTAAAAAAGATATTCAGGGTACAAGCTGTTGAAGGTCAAAGAAGAAGAGATTGGATTTATACCCCGCCCTTCACTACCCGAAGGAGTTTCAGAGCGGCTTACAACCTCCTTTCCCTTCCCCTCCCCACAACAGACACCCTGGGAGGTAGGTGGGGCTGAGGAAGCTCTCTCGAGGACTGCCCTTGAGAGAACAGCTCTGAGAGAACTTGTGACTGACCCAAGGTCATACCGGCAGCTTCATGTGGAGGAGTGGGGAATCTCCTAACCACTACACCAAGCTCCCTTAGTTGGGCACACTTTGACTCTTGAAAGCATAGGCCCTGAAAAACTTGTTGGCCTCTAAGGCAGGGGGGTCAAACATGCGGTCCAGGGGCCGGATCCGGCCCCAGAGGGCTTCTATCAGGCCTGCAGCGGAACTGGCCATCTCCTGCTTCCAGTTCTGCTGTTGCATCATATCTTGTTTGCCAGACTCTCTCAATCACTCAGCCAATTCACGTTTTCTCCTGGGCCCTAGGCTCAGAATCCGAGCGTGAGATTTCTGTGGTGAACGTCAATAAATCAAATGTAGGTTTGCCGCTTACAGACACATACCTGAACAGCATACACTCAAGATTGCAACAGCACAGACGTTTTGATTGCAACAATTCAGAGCAAGGGGTGTCAGTTATGAAACACTGTTAAATAAACAAGATATCGCAAGAGTGCTGACGTTTTTAGTTTAAGTAAAAATATATATCTTTGTGTCCTTTATAAAGCTTATATCTCCGCTACCTGGCATTACATTTTATGACACACACGGCCTGGCCCGACAAGGTCTTGTTTATGTCAGATCCGGCCCTTGTAACAAATGAGTTCGACGCCCCAGCTCTAAGGTAATAGTGGACTCAAATCTAGCCCTCTGACTGCAGTACAACTTGGCTAACCACTGAAACGATTTCTGCTTCCTTCTCTGCCCCCCCCCCTCGTGCCCATCTCTGATCTGCCCTGAAGTTACCAAGGGACAAGGAAGGAAGGGTTCCTTCAACCCCCCCCAGCCAGAAGACGCCCACGGGTACTTTCTGGGAGTGCCTCCCGCAGGAGAAAGAGTCCTTGGGTCTGGTCCAGAAACTGGCTGCTATTATACCCTCTGTACCAATGCCCAAAGGAATCCTACGGATGCGCAAGGCAGGCCCCCAGCCCCGTACACGACCATCCCGTGGGAATCGGCACGGGGGCCAAGTTCAGGTTGCCCGCACGCTTCAAAGAGAGAAACGCCAAGCTATCCTGCTCCCTTCCACCCCGGGACAAGCGATCACACAGAGGCCGAAGGGCAACTCCCCCTCTTCCAATTCAGGGGCTGCCGCCCGCGCTCGTCACCTCCAGAAGGCGGCGTTCATGGCGTTCCTTTTCTCCGGCCGGTTGAGTTCCACGTGCAGCACCTTCTCTCGCACCCGCTCCACCTTCAGGGTCTCGTAGCTGTCCAGGGTGTCCTGTTTCTTCGACTCTGCTGACATCGGCCTCGAGCTGAGACGGGGCGCACGATACACAGAGAGTCCTGAGAGACGACAGACAATGCTAATGGGCATGGGAGAGGCCCCCCACCCCTTTAAGGACATCAGAAGGGCCCTGCTGGATCAGACCAGTGAGGGTCCAGCATCCCATCTCACCCAGTGGCCAGCCAGCTCCTCTGGAGGGCCAACAACAGGGCAGAGAGGCCGAGACCTTCCCCTGATAAGAACATAAGAAGAGCCCTGCTGGATCAGACCAGTGAGGGCCCATCTAGTCCAGCATCTCGTCTCACACAGTGGCCAGCCAGTTCCTCAGCAGGGCCAACAACAGGTCAGAGAGGCCAAGGCCTTCCCCTGAGAGGAACCACAGAAGAGCCCTGCTGGATCAGACCAGTGAGGGTCCATCCAGTCCAGCCTCCTGCCTCACACAGTGGCCAACCAGTTCCCCTGGAGGGCCAACAACAGGGCAGAGAGGCCGAGGCCTTCCCCTGATGCTGCCTCCTGGCACTGGGATTCAGAGGCTGACTGCCTTCGAACGTGGAGGTTCCCTTCAGTCACCGTGGCTAGTAGCCACTGAAGACCTACCTTCCATGAATCTATCTAATCCCCTTTTAAAGCTGTTTATTCCTGTGGCCATCACCAATGCTCCCTCTTAGTTGTGAAGTCTTGTGAGAAAAAACAACAGCACCACAGCTGTTTTCTTTGTGGATCTTGCTTCAGACGAAGGCAGCTCACCTGCAACCTCTGTCCTCTAAAGGGGTGTGCAAACTCTTGCACAACACCAAGGGGTGGGGGAGGCTGAGCAGGAAGGCTCCTTTTTGGGAAATACACCTGGACAGGGTGGGATCAGGCAAGAAAAAAATGGTAAAACTCTGTCCTCCACACAGGACAGAGGCAAAGGAAGCTGCAGATGGCAGAGCAACAAGATCCCAAAGACCTGTTCAGGGAAGAATGACGCTTTATCCTGGTGCAAGGACCAGACCCGACCTGGAGAGAGGCAAGCCAGGAAGGGGGTAGGACCCACTCAGAACAGTACATAAAGGGAACAGTACATAAAGGTACATAAAGGGAGGGACTGGCAGAGAAGGGGGAGGAGCCAAAGAGTGAGTGAGGGGCCAGGGAGAACTGGCACACGAGGGGAGGGGCTAGCAGAGAAGAGGGAGGAGCCAGTGAGAAGGGGCAAAGAAGGGTGAAGGCTCAGAGAGAAGGAAGGGGTCACATGAGAGGAGCAGCCAGTGAGGGGGGGTCCTGTCCAGCATTCCCTCTAAGCTGTTAGTGTGAGCTAGCTCACAGTTTTTTAGCCCCCGGCTCACACTTTTTTGTCTCAGCTCAGGGAGGAGGGCTCCAGAGCAAACTGATTTATGCAGCAGCCAAATCGCTGGCTCACAACTTCAATCCCAGGAGCTCCCAGAGTAGAATTTTTGCTCACAAGACTCCACAGCTTAGAGGGAGCACTGGTCCTCTCAGGGAGGACAATAAGGGGAGGGGATTCAAAAGGGAGATCCATCCAGGTGGGTAGCTGTGTTGGTCTGAAGCAGACCGACAAAGTTTTATCCAAGCTATGGGTTTTCGTGTGCAAGCACACTTCCTCATATACAACGAAATGGAAGAGAACAGTCCGTTGATCTACAGAGAGGGTGAACAGTAAATTAGCACACAGGGTAATTAAACCCGAATCAACTTAACTTGTTATGCCTGTTTAGTTTCCGCATCTGCAAAAAACATCCTCGTTCCGTTGTATGCTAATCCACCCGCTATACATATCGATGAACTGCTCGCTTCCACTTCGCTGTATCTGAGGACGTGCGCGTGGACACGAAACTTCATACCTTTTTTTAAAATTCATTTTTTAACCACACAATTACAACAATATTTGACACACACAGAACAGTTACCAGCTCGCTTAAACAGTTTCCCCCCGGTAGCTCAAGGGAATAAGATAACCTTTACAAAAAATGCACCTAATACAACCAACTTAAAGCATGCATCAAACACAGGACAGTTAAAAGAACAGCAACTTTTTGTATAAGGGTTTTTTGGGGGGGATTGTCTCACTATTTTCTAGATAACTAATGATAGGACACCATACCGCCTGAAACCACTTTTGGTACTTTTCTGACTGCACAGCTGAAGAATTATACGAAGTGCCCCTTGGATAAAACTTTGTCGGTCTTTTGCAGGACAAAAAGAAAGCGGGGGTGGGGGGGGCAGCCATGGGGGTTAGAGGAAGGTCGCAATGGGCAAACAGCGAGTGAGAAGGAGCCCCCTCCCCTACTCACGCCTGCGCAGCAGCCCCCGCAGGACGGCACTTGCACCCGCCACCGCTGCCATGAAGCCTCCTCCGTCTCTGTCCGCCGGAGCTCCGGGGGACACCAGCGAGTGGGAGGGCTAGAAAGTCTCCTCCCGCCCCCGGCCGGTCACCTGACGGACCGGCTCTCCTTCGCGTCCCCGCGAAGAAAGGGCACACTCTGCCCTTAAGAAAGATGGCCGCCGCTCGCTCCAGCGGAGGACGGCACGTCGCCGGGGCCCTTCTCGCGGAGCCAATCGGCTCTCTCGGGAGTAGCAAGAAGGCGGGGTTAGAGACGCGCGCCCTCTGTCGGAGACGGGCTGGGAAGGAGGCGCGGCGGGTGTGCGCGGGGCGCGTGGTGGAGACCGGGCGGCCTGGACCGCACCATTTCAGGCCAGGGGTGGTGGTGGCATTGTTACTTGGCTGTTTCTGCTCTCTGCAAAATGCAAAACTTGGGGCGAAAATAGGGCTTTTCGTCTTTCGCGACAGCACTGCAATCTCCCCCCATTCCTTCTCGCGTTCTCCCGCACGCGTGGAGCGGCCCGGTCCCTCAAACGTTTCATCTGCGCTCGAAACACCGTCAAGCCCCCCCCGCCCCCGGGAGAAAGTTTGCCAGAGGTTTCCTCCCACTCTTATAAACGATAAACTAGTTGGTGACGATCTCCTCTCCTCCGTATTATCCTCACAACCACCCTGTAAGGTAGGCTAGGCCGAGTACGTGACTGACCGTAGCTTTATGCCATGAGCGTGAGGATTTGAACCTGGGTCTCACAGATCCTAGTGGGACACTAACACTTACAGCACACTGGCTTGCGAGGCAATCCCTACATTGTAGTAGGAAGGACTTTTGGAAACAAGATGGCTAACGGGGTGACCAAGGGGCCTTCCCTCTCCCTAAGTTGCAGAACTTTTAGAACTTTTCACCCGTCCCACATCCCTGCCTCACCCATCTGAGGAAGTGTGCTTGCACACGAAGAGGAGATTGGATTTATACCCCGCTCTTCACTACCCGCAGGAGGGCTTACAAACTCCTTCCCCGTCCTTCCCACAACAGACCCCCTGTGAGGTAGGCAGGGCCGAGAGAGCTTTGACAGAAACTGCTTTTTCAGGGACAGCTGTTATCAGAATTATGGCTTGCCCAAGGTCATCCAGCAGCTGCAAGTGGAGCAGTGAAGAATCAAACCCGGTTCTCCCAGATTAGAGTCTGCGCATTTAAACCACTACACCAAACTGGTTGCCACGAAAGCTTATGCCTTGAATAAAACTTCATTGGTCTTAAAGGTGCCTCCGGACCCCCTTTGTTCTGCTGCTGCAGACCGATACACCTGCCCAACTGAATCTCAAACCACCACCCCCCAACTCATGGACACCAACGAGACCCCAGAAGTTCCCTAACGCTGTTACCTTCCGACTGAAGCGGTACCTACCTATTTATCGACTTGCAATTTCTTGCATTCAAACGGCTAAGTTGGCAGGAGCAAAGGTGCCTCCGGACCCCCTTTGTTCTGCTGCTGCCCAACTGCACACCTGCCCAACTGAATCTCAACCCCCCCCCCAACTCATGGACACCGACGAGACCCCAGAAGTTCCCTAAAGCTGTTACCTTCCAACCAAAGCGGTACCTACCTATTTATCGACTTGCAATTTCTTGCATTCAAACGGCTAAGTTGGCAGGAGCTGGGGCCAGAGCCAGGATCTCACTCCGTCATGCGGCACTCGGGTCTCGAACTGCTGAATTACCGACCTTCTGGTCTGCAGCTCAGCATCTTAACCCCTGAGCCACCGCAGCCCCATATATATTTAGGGAAAACCTAAATGTGAAGAGATCTAGACTCCCCAAATATCTCAGTGCCATTTTAAAAGGCCAATTACACCTATACCCAAGAATCCATGCCAGAAGTAGGCTTCAGGGGCTCCCCCATCACCCACCCCACGCATGCCCTGATCGACACTGCCCCCCTTATCCATGATGGGAAAAAAGAGAATGGGGGCAACCTGTTTGGGGGCCTGTAGAATTGGACCCCCTGGTCCAATGTTCTTGAAACGTGGTGGGTATCTTGGGGAGAGACTCCAGCAGCTACCCTGCAAGTTTGGAGCCTCTCCCTCAAACCCCCTCCCCTCCATCCCCTGGAATATACCCTATGTTTTCGCCATTGAGTTCAATGGCCCATAGGATATAATGGGGCCGAAATTGACATGTGGGAGTCTTTTTGCTCGCCAAAATTGATTCTGCTCAATTTGGCCAAATCCGAATCGGGCCAAAAAAAATTTTTTTTTGCACACCCCTACATCTTACCAGTGCCTGAAATAAAAGGGGACCAAGGAACACAGGAAATATCAGCAAACGTTACAGAAACCAATCAAGATTCTCCTAGTAAAAATTCCGAGGCCCAGGTTGGCCCTTTCTTACAAACAGATGTGCGCATGTAGCAATGTTCCCTCTAAGCTGTGGAGTCTTGTGAGCAAAAATCCTACTTTTGAGAGCCACTGGCATTAAAGTTGTGAGCGAACGATTTGGCTACTGCATAAATTAGTTTGCTCTGGAGCCATCCCTTCCTGAGCGGAGACAAAAATGTGTGAGCTGGAGGCCAAAAAAACTGTGAGCTAGCTCACACTAGCTCAGCTTAGAGGGTACACTGCTGTGTAGATGCCCAGTATGTACAGGCATTCACGACAATGTGTGTGAACAGGGCTAGCATGAATAAGTGTACAAGTTTGTGTGATTTAACCCAACATAAGTGTACGTGGTTGGGCAAACTGTTTACTGTTCCCAGGGATTCCAAAGGTGGTGGTGGTGGTGGTGGTTACTGTTCCCATCCTCTGTTCTGCAAGGGCACATCGACACCTAGGACCAGAGTATATTTTCCAAACAGCTTTATTAAGGTGTGCGAAACAGCACAGGCAGCACAGAGTATGAATGGGTGGTGGTGGTGGGGGGGGAGAAACAAGTCACATGTACGATAAGTTTAAAAATCAGGAATCTTCTGAATGCCGCAGAGTTTCTTCCTCTCAGCTGATTCAGGCTTTTCTTCTTTTTTTTAAAAAAAAGGAACACGGGTGCGTTGCCAGAAAGGGGGAGGGGGGAAAAAATTAACAGAGGAAGCCTTCCTGGGCAGGGACTCGAAACGAAACTTACGAGGCGTGCTGAGCAGTGGAGAAGCAGAGTTTCAGTGTGTAAGGATAGGGCCCATCTGGGAGGAGAGAGAAAGAGAGACCAGGATACCAGCATTGTTCTTTTGTGAGGACAGACGGACAATATCCTGCCTGGCTTTGGCAGGTATGGGGGGGGGTGTCCAACAAGCTTCCCCACGCTCAGAATATCTGGGACCAATCTGACCCAGCTGGTCTGCCCTCAGCTCCTTGATGTAAAGCTAAGTAGTTAAGCAGCGATGCTGGTGCCAAGACTTGAGGCTATGAAGAGGGGTCTTTCTTTCTGAAGAAGCGGGAGCTCCTTCCTTCCAAGCTGATGGAAAAACTGGTCCAATTTGCTAACAGACTCCCCCACTCACCCCTTCCTATTCTTTCCTACCCAAGATTTCCCAGGAGATGTGGGAGCCACAAACAAGTAATGGCAGAACCTGGTGTTTGTGTGTGCCGGGAGGCCTGGGAACCGTTCCAGCATCGGAGCCTTCTGTCTGGCCAATACAGCGTCTAATGCCGAAAGTAAGTTTTGGGAAGTGCAGCTAGAAAGCTATCAGGCCCCGTCTTCCCTACGATGCCACTGGGAACATGAGGCATTTAAGACTTTGCAAAGAGCTTAGGAAATGTGGGTTTCCACGCGTCTAAAGGAACTTCCTAATCCTTTCAGAGCCTCGACAGGCAGTCCCCCCCTCCCCCCGCCAGCATGCAGAGTGGCTTACTTGGGTTTTTCATCTGGTAATGGTTGAGGAAGGCCAGAGTCTCCAGGGCATCCCCTTTGGTTTCCCACTCCAGCAAGCCAGACGAACTCCTTTCACCTTTCAAAAAACAGCAACAGTTAAGACACACTTGAGCGATCCCGGTAGGAAAAGAGCAAGAGTCCAGTGGGCACCTTAAAGACTAAATAAAATCTGTTGCAGAACATGAGCTTCCGTGAGCCTCTGCTCAGTTCTCCAGATGCAGCTAGAATGTGAGTCCATTCTAGCTGTATCTGAAGACGTGAACGGTGACTCACAAAAAGTTCATACCCTGACACACTCTTTAAGGCTCTACTGGACTCTCACTCTTTTCTCCTGCTTCAGGCAGACTGACACGGCGACCCATCTCCGGCTATTCCAGAAGGTGAGTGAGCCACACTGCAAACTTTATTCGCTAGATTTTTTTTGAAGTCTGGTCAGGTAAGCTCAAGTTCAGAACCTCCAACTCTCCACATGCACACACACATACCTTTGATGCCAAACCCTCATTTATCTACAAGACGAAGGTGACCTTTCCTGTGCCACACCCACAGATGAAACCTCAAAAGTCTTCCTGGGTTTTTTTGCATTACAGTAGTGGAAACAGAGGACACGTTTCCAGAGACGGCCTTCCTGCCTCATCTTTAAATGGGGGGGGGGTGGGGGAGGCTTTGAAATCACCTTGTTCTGAACACCACAACTATTTCTGAGGCAAGTCATGGTCCCCCAGAAAACTAGATTCAAGTCTACACTCAGCCTCCAAGCCCACTACATGACCTCAGGTAAGTCTCTCTCTCTCTCTGCTTAGCCAGCCTCACAGATCAGTGAAGGTAGAACGTGGAAAACACATAGGACGCTTCTTGGGGAAACTGCAAAGTAGACTGGTCCTTTAAGTAAAAAGACTCTTCCCCTCACTCTAGAGGTGGCCAAAATTTCCAAACTGTATTTTCAATAATTTCCAAGCATTTTATTCCTGGAGGAAGGTACACACCTGGATGAAGACTACCCAAGCAAGGGGGTAAAAGTTTCCTACATTGTTTTCCGGCTCCTTTGTTCCTAAAAGGCATGTGGCCAAGCTCCATTCCGGATAACGGTCTGAATAAAAGAACCAGCTTCATGCCTTGCCTGGGTCTTACAATCTGGTATCCTTAGGCAGAAGCCCATACTTGATTACCTTTGAATTAATACTTATAAGTTCTCACTTCTCACTTTGCAAGCCCCATTTGGAAATGCTGATTTCTTTGCTTTTATAATAGAAAAGGGATTCAAAATCTGTTCTGTTGGGATCTTTTT